ACAGCATGGGATGTCTGACTGCAAAGGATCTAACAGAACAAAGACTATTACCTGGTACAGCTTATGGTCTTCATTCCAAAGCCCGGAGATTTCTGGCTCAGCCAGTGTCTCCTCATCTGGGTTGGTGCTGGGCGCCAAGTTCCCATGGACGGAAGAGCTGGAGACGACCTGTGCTAACGAAGTGGGTTCTGGGTCTGCAGTGAGGTCGTTCTCCTGTAGCCAGGGAGAGGATGCAGCTGGCACACTCATCATTGGCAAGTGGAGGATGCGCAGATAATCGAGAAGGAAATAAAAGCCCCTGCCCCCGCCAGGCACACGCCCAGCACATGCCCAGCACATGCCTTATTATTTTTTGTAAATTGCTATTTCTTTATTTCTGGGAGAGATTTTTTCTATAGGGCATGTGTGCTCGCCAGTGAGAGAGAGAGAGACAGAGAGACAGAGGTGAGAAATCGCCCCCTGGGGGGATGGCCACACTGCAATCCCTACTCCATTCTCCTCTCGGATTTTGGGCATGCATGCACACGCGCCCAGTGTGAGTTTCAAGGCACTGGGTCCGGGACTTGAATCGCAGTTGACTATGTGAGAGTCCAGTGACATAACTGCTGCACTATCTGCTGGTCCCAAAAGCCTTATTCTTTACAAGGAGATTATGGCACACAGGCTGGGGCAACTTTTCCCACTTAAAATACAACATAAGTATTTTTATACATTATTACATTTTTTTTACAATGTTCAGAAGAGTTCACAAAACATTCCCTTCTATGGGAAAACATTCTAACCTATGCACATGCCATAGGTTAGGTTCTTTCCACCCATCCTCAGGTGCTCTTTCTTTATTTTATTTTGTAAGAATTATTTATTTAACTTTATTTATTTATTTATTTTCTGGAGAGGTTTTTGCTATAGGGTGTGCGCGCTCGCCAGAAAGACAGAGAGAGACAGAGAGACAGAAAGTGAGAAAACTCCCCCCGCCGGGGGGATGGTTATGCCGTAATCCCTTCTCCTCTATTCTCCTCTCAGGATCTTGGGCACACACATACATGCGCCTGGCGTGAGTTTAAGCCACCCGGTCCGGGACTCGAACTGCAGTCGACTACATGGGAGTTTGGTGACATAGCCATTATGCCAACTGCTGGTCCCCATTTATTTATTTTCTAATTTGACCAGAGAAGGACAGAGTGAGAGAGAGAGGGAAAGTGAGAAAGCAAGCCACCAGGTCCTGGACTCGAACCACGGCCGGCCATGTGGAAGCCCAGTGTCCTTGACCACCATATCACCTGCCAGTCCCAAGGTGCTCATCATTTCTAAATTTCACTGGTATACATGGAAAGGCCTTTGGTGCTAACTCGGAGGACAGCTGAGATGTTTCCCTAGAACCAGTGTGGAGATGGGAGTCATGTGTCCACCCTGGCTCTGTGTGGAGGCTGGAGGGGAAGGGAAGTGGCCCCTGTGGTGAGCCAGTTAACAGCCCCCTCTCCCCCTGGGGGAAGCAGTTCATGCAGAGGTGGGCAAGAAGTCAGGATGCAGATACAACACCATCGCTGAAAACTTCGAGACCTGCTTCCCAGGAACAGCCTGGGTGCTGAAGTAGAGAAAGACAGGGTGGACAGGGAAGGCTTTCCTGCAGACAGGAGAGAGGCAGCGGGTAGTTCAGAGGCCCTGCAGTAAGATGGGCTGTGGTGAGAAGTGGGCGAGAGACAGAGGCTTCGCCTCAGGCACAGGGAGCCTGGCAAACAGAGAAGACCTCCCCTGACGTACTGAGGGAAGCAGCAAAGGCCCCACAGAGGCCCAAACCAGGAAGCTTGAGGCTGGGCCTTGCTGGAAGGAGTCTGTTGGAGTTAGTGACCTTGATGCTCAGGCTTTAGGGCATGCAAGGGCAGAGCTGAAGCTCCACACTGGGCCCAGGAGGGGGCCAGTATCTCTACTCCACAATCTCAGAGAAAAACTAGAAGTAAATCTTCTCAGCTGAGGGGAGTTACCTATACCAACGGTCCCGGGCTGGCCCTTAGTATGAATGAATGAATGAATAAATAAATGAGTGAGCTAGGGGAAAGCTGCTGTCCCCAGAGTGACATTAAGAGTGCCAAGCAGCTGGGACCAGCATTTGGCAAAATGGCTATGTTGCTGGACTCCTATGTGGTTGACCATGGTTTGTGTCCTGGACCCGGTGGGCGCGTGTGCATGCGTGCCCAAGATCCTGAGAGGAGAATGGAAGAGAGGGGATTGTGGTGTGGCCATCACCCCTGAGGGGTGATTTCTCGCTTTTTGTCTCTCTCTCTCTCTCTGTGTCTTTCTGAGTGCACAAGCCCTATAGCAAAAAAATCTCTCCAAAGAACAAAAAAAAAAAAGTGCTCTTTTTGGGACCAGCAGATAGCTTAATGGCTATGTCACTGGACTCCTGTGTAGTCAACTGTAGTTCAAGTCCCGGAACCGGTGACTTAAACTCATGCTGGGTGTGTGTGCATGTGTGCCCAAGATCCCAAGAGAACAGAGGAGAAGGGATTGCGGCGTGGCCATCTCCCCTGAGGGGTGATTCCTCACTTTCTGTCTCTCTGTCTCTTTCTCTTTCTGGTGAGCGCACACGCCCTATAGCAACACCCCCCCCCAAATGGCTTAAAAAAGCAATAAAAAGAATGCCAAGCAGCAGAGTGACACCACGCATCACACGTGTGAGGATAAAGCGTTGCATGGATCTCCTGATATGTGATTGACTTAGATCGAAATTTGGAGACAGGCAAGGAAGCTTGTAGCCAGCCAAGCCACACTGTAAAGAGAAAAGTGGCCCTGGTGGGTACCCTGAATCCCTGCTGAGATGTCGCGATATCCCTGTACTGGGTGGCTACAGAGAGCCTGGTGACACTACTGTTGGTGGCTCTTAGACCACTTCCTCCATCCTCGCGAGCCCTGCCCCACGTATCTCCAGGTGTGTGAACCGGTCTGCAGAAAGGCGTCTTGCTCACCGGCGGGAAGCTGGCAGTTACTGCGGTCTTCCCCTCGCAGAGGTCGGAGATGTAGCTCCAGGTCTTGTCTCTTGAAGTCCTCCGGTCCCTGATTTTGGCAGGGCGGTGCTGTTTCTTCCTCCTGGTTTCCTCCTCGGCCTCCTCTTTCAGAATCCGACTTACGATCTCCTGCTTTCTAAGCTTCTGCTCCTCCTCAAAGGCCCTACGGAGAAATGCTTCTCGGTGAGAGGCCAGCGGCCTCCATCTTGCGCCAGGTGAAACAGCACATCTGGGCAGCCACTCGGGTCCAGCATGGTTTGGCTTAGCCCTGGCTGGCTCCCTCCCCAGGAGCTCAGGGTTAGCCCAGCCAGCTTTGGGGGTAGGGATATCCTGGGTGATCCACAAGCTCCCACAGGGAACACAGAGACAGCCCAGGCAAGCAGAGCAGAGCTGCCAGGCTGGAGACTCATACTCAGACCCCACCCTGCCCTACCCTCCCTGTCCAGTCTAGGGTCACGGTCCCTAAAACTTGGCCCTCATGAGCTGACACCCCCCAGTCCCCAGTTTCTAGGCTGGCAGTGGGGGTGCTCCAGCTGAGGCACAAACCAAAGGCAGCATTGGAGATCGAGGACATTCATTCATTCACTCACTCCACTGTGCCTGGCCAGGTGCCTCCTATGTCCCAGACATGTACAGACTGAAGGACACATCGGTGGGTGGAGCTCCCCCAAGGAAAACCCACCACAGTAGGCAGGCGAACAGGCTGTAGCTAAATTCCGGGGTGACTGCCAGGGAGACACACTCGGGGCTCTGTGATGCCCAAGGGACGCTGCTGCCCCAGTGAGAGGGCCAGGAGGCCACACCCGAGCACGACCTAAGCAGTGACCAGCCAGGATCAGGACTGGGAAGAAGGGGACTCCAGGAAAAGGTGGCTTTAGGCAAAGGTCCCAACAGGACAGTTTGCACAAGACGTTACTAGAATACCATGTGCAAGGCTGGAGAAGGTGAGAAATGAGGCCAGAGACTTGACTTGAGGGGTTTGAGTCCAGGCAGCCCACTCCCATGGAGTGAGGTGGAGAGGGACTAAGAATGCAGCTCTAATTGCAAGTCTGGGGGAAGGTCAGAAAGGCAGTGTATTAAGGACGAGCCCCAGGCAGGCTCCAAAGAGACAGGAGGGTGGCCAGGCGGGCGGGGAGGAGGGGAACAGGAGCCCCTGTGACTGCAGCACTAGGAAGCCAAACCAAGGTTCAAGACAGAGTAAAGAAGCCTGAACATGTCATCAGGCCAGGGTCTTGTGCTCCCTATGGGCAGCTCTGGGTGCACCTAGAAAGGGCCTATAGCCGTTCTTCCAGAGAAACCATAGTGAGGGGAGTGGGAGAGACTGGGAGGGGAGAGGGGGGCAGAGGGGAGGCTGCTGGGCAGCAGGGCATGGGGCCAGCCGGCCAGGGTGAGCCTTGGCACAGGGTCTAAGCCAAGCAGGGGTGGCGGTGTGGAGCTCCCATTCCTGTGTCGCTCAGCAGCTTCAGGTAGGAGGCTGAGGCAGAGAGCACAGCTTTGCCGATCACGAGGGACAAGCCCCCCTAGGTTCTCGTTGCCACCCCAGGGCTGCCTCACCGCTGCTGGGCCTCTAACTCCTGTTGCTTGCGTTGATGGAAGAGATGCTTGAAGGCATCCCCGCCCTGGGCCAGAATTGCCTCCTTCTCAGCCTGGACTTTCTGCTCAGCCAACTCTGCCTTGGCCTGGCCCCATGCTTGAAATTTCCGCAGTGTTTCCTTGGAAATAGAGAATGCCAGGTGACAGCATTTGTACACATTGCACACGCATGGGGTCTTTCAGTTCGAAAGCTGACCTTAAATCAATGGTGAGTCGTTTGCAAACATCACATAACTCTGAGCGTCCTCCACCCAGACATAGCTCTGCCCCCCACTCCACCCCATGCAAGCCTGCCCTGACAGGCCACACACACAGGTCTGTGTCTGTACAGCTGCTTGCTTACCACCGTTCCCTTGCCTCTGAGTCTTTGCAGATGCTGTTCCCTACTCTTCCCCTCTCTACTTTCCCCACCTGAACCCCCCCACACCTGGCCCAGGTGCACGAACCCTCGTGCACCTCTTCGGGTTACTGCTCTTCCTTCAAGAACAGGACCAGGGTGCTTCCTTTCCTGTTGGGCTCTGGTGCCTGCTTGGGGCTGGCACAGAGCCCATAGTCAAAACATCTGTGGAAGAGGCTCAGTAAACTCCCAAGAAATGATCGATGGGTGAGACTGAGGACACGAGCCTGGCTCCTGAGGAACCTTGGCCCAGCAGGATAGACATCCTGGCAGGATGATGCCTGCGAGGCTGGTGCTGCGGGTCTCTGAGGATGCAGGAGGGGCCTCCTGTGTTTCAGGTGTGCAGACTGAAGGACAGGTAGGTGGGTGGAGCTCACCCAGTGTGCAGGGCCTACCCGGTTTGCGGTGATGTTATTCTTGAGCGCCAGCACTGCATCCATGCGCCTCTGCATGTACTGACGAGACTCCATCTCCTCCTTCCTCTCTTGCTCTCGAATTCTGGAGGAAAGTGCATTTAAAAGAATTCTTCCCAAATGATAGCATGTGCATGGGAGAGAGATAGAGAGAAAGAGAGACATTCTCGACAGGGTCTCGTGCACATCCCCTTGCCCCAGCCCTCCAGTTTCTTGGGATCTTAGAGCCCGCTCAAGCAATTAAAGGACACACTGTGGCTGAGCATCAATGATAAAGACACTGTATCTCATGGTCCTCTTCTGAAAACACAACACAACACAAAACAAAACACAACACTAGCAACTCAAAGCTAGAAATACAGGGAACCAGCAGTTAGCGTAATGGCTATGTCGCTGGACACCCACGTAGTCGACCACGGTTCGCGTCCCGGACCCGGTGGCTTAAAACTCATGCTGGGTGCGTGTGTGTGTGTACCCAAGATCCCGAGAGGAGAACGGAGGAGAAGGGATTGCGGCGTGGCCATCCCCCCAGGGGGTGATTTCTTATTTTCTGTCTCGATGTCTCTCTGTCTGTCTGGCGAGCGCATGCGCCCTATAGCGAAAACCTCTCCTAAGGAAAAAAAAAAAAAAGAAAAAAAGCTAGAAATACAGATTTATTGTTTTTTGGGCCAGCAGGCGGCGTGGTGATTGAGGCGCTGGACTCCCACATGGTTGACTGCATTTTGAGTCCTAGACCTGGTGGCTTGAAAATCATGCTGGACGTGTGCCCAAAATCCTGGGGAGAGAGTGGAGAAAGGATTGCAGTATGGCTATCCTCCCTGAGGGATGATGTCTCTCACTTTCCCTTTCTCTACATCTCTCTCTGGCAAGTGTGCACACCCTATGGCAAGAATCTAAAAATAAACAAATAAATGCTTCCAACGATAAGGTGATAATTTAATAATAATAAAATTGAAGAATTTTGAAACAGAATTAAGTGACACATACACACACACACATAAATTTTTTTTTTAGAGTGTTTTTGCTATAGGGTGTGTGTACTTGCTGGAGAGACAGAGAGGAAGAAAGCGAGAAATCACCCCCTCCCCCCGGGGAGATGGCCACGCTGCAATCCTTTTGCCATTCTCCTTTTGGGACTTTGGGCATGCACGCACGTGCACCCAGCGTGAGTTTTGAGCTGCCACCGAGTCTGGGACTCGAAACGTAGTTGACTACATGGGAGTCCAGCCATGTAACCATGATGCCATCTGCTGGTCCCAAGTGACTGCTAGTCTTAGGTTTCTCTTCAAAGGCGTTAACAACCAGGAAGATTCTGAGAGCAAAACCCCTACCGTCCCAGGGAGGCCTTCAGAAACTTCACTGCGATCCTGTGATTCTTCTGGATGTCTTCCACCAGCTTCTGGTGTCTGAGTCCATACTCCTTCTGGATGTGAAAGGACTTCCTGCAGTGACATGGGGCAGGGAAGACAGATCTGCTGGGACATATGTCCTTCACTCAGTGTCCCTCAGGGACTGGGGGTGAGGAACACAGACAGAATGATAAACTAGATCCTCCTGGGGGCTCTGGTGCTGACGAGACCCACCAAAGATGAAGTTTGATGCTGGAGGAGCAGGGATCTGAAGAAGGAAGAGAACAGCAAAGACCATGTTGTAAGGAGGGAAGGGACCACAGGCCAGTAAGAAGTGAGTGGGGAAGGGGGTGAGCCTGGTGGGAGACAGGAAGGGGGCAATCAAGACCCTTTGGCTGCCTACTGCCAGGGGCTTGGACTCCACAGAAAACTGTGGAAAGATCTGGCAATGGGCTGGATGTGGTGGGGAGTGTATAAGAGTAAGGAGGACCATGGTTTCTGGGAGGGCCATGCTTTCTGGCTGGGCAGCTGGACGGAGGCGGAGCTATGTAATGAGATGGTGGAGGGGGTAGAGGCGAGCCAGATGAGTAGGCTGGGCCTGGGGGCCTGCAATCCATGGGAGAGAAGCTGGGCTGCCCACCGAGACTGGATGACAGAGACTTCAGGAGGAAAATGAGACGCGAAGTCACCTGGGAGTGTCTGCTGGCTTTCAGAACTTTTAGGGACCAGTAACTGTGGCCAGAGGCATTTCAGGACCAGGTGAGGATCATCGGGGCAGGTTGGTTAGAGGAAGCACTTGATGCCCAGGAAGGATCCAAGGGTCAGGAGGGAGGATGAACTTGGGGAAGAGGCAGGGAGGGGCCAGGGTGGTGACAGATGCAGACAGCACAGCTAAGCAGCATCTGGAGAACTGTGGTTAAGAGGCAGAGGGGCTGGCAGGAGCAGGGCCTGAGGCTGTAGCCCCCTGGGACATGAGGACTGGGCTTGGGTGCTGCTTACCGGATCCTCAGCAGCCGGTTCCTCTCTGCCTTTCCCAGGGCCTCCTTTTCCCTCCGGAGCTGCTGGTCTGCATGGGCCTGGAAACACCTCCTTGCCTCCTCCGCCTCCTCTTGCTTGGACTTCTGGAAGTCCTTACACTGCTCCTCCTCCATCTCTACGTGCCACATGGCATTCCTTGCAAACAAGGGGCCTCTTGTTTATGGGGGCAAAGTGGTTGGGGACCTGGGGCTGGGCACTATAGGGTGCATCCACCCTGGAGATCTGGGGAGGGCCTGGACATCGTTTTGTTACACTTCAAGTAGACGTTGAACAATGCTGACAAGTCAGCTCCTTCCTCCAAGGAGCCCTCTTGGTCCAAAGTTTCTTAGAGACTGAGGATCCCTCCTCCTGCCCAACCTCCAACTTCACATAAACATCACATCAAGTCCCACCAGAGCTAGAACCCGGCCCTCCTCTTCCTGTGTGCTCATGGACACTCCTCTGGCCTGAGGACCGGGTCAGCTGATGGTAGCAAGCCCCTTGCCTGGTCTGAGGAACGCATATGGGAAGAGATGGTTGCGAGATTGTTGTGACTGCCTTCTGCTGGGGGAGGGTTACTGGAGCTACCAAAGAGCCCCTTCCTCCATTTTCAAATGTAATTGGGGTGGGGACTCTGAAACATGTTCTGGGTCCTGGCTGGACAGAAAAGGATCTGCCCAATCCCTTGTCTTAGGTGACAAGGTCTTGGGCAACTGTTAGTTGAAGACTGTCTCTGGTGGCCATGGAAGCACATAGCTCACTCTGGAAGTTTCCAATTTATATCCAGCTGGGATGAGTACATGTATACAGTAAGAGGGTTTAGGCTAAGAGCGCTCGCTCTTAGGATGAAGAAATCCATCTCCAGATAGTGTCACACCAGTGTACTGACAGATTAAAAATTTCCAACAACTGGGGGCCAGCAGAAGGCATAGTGGTTACATTGCAGGACCCTCACATGGCCAGTCACAGTCTGAGCTCTGGCCCAGTGGCTTGAAACTCACGCCAGGTGTGTGTGTGTGTGTGTGTGTGTGTGTGTGTGTACGTGTGCACCCAAGGTCCCAGAAACAGAATGGAGGAGACAGGATTGCAGTGTGGCCATCCTCTCTTGGGTGGGATTTCTCACTTTCCCTCTCACTGTCTCTCTTGCTTTCTCTCCAGCAAGTACATGCACCCAAAGGTAAAAACTTCTAAAAATAAAATAGTTTCCAACAACTGAAGAGTTGACCCCCATAATCCCCCAGGCAGAGATGAGCTGTTCTTGGAGGCCTGCTAGCAGTTCTACCTGGAAGATATGGACTCAGGATGATGTCAGATGGGAGTGTTTTAGCTGGCATCTGCCTCGCTCCTGAGAGTAAACCAAATGCCTCACACAGTTCATCATTCAGAATGATGTTTGTTGTAGGCTTTCAGTAGATACTCTTAATCATGTTAAGAAGACAGGTGGCATGGTGGTTAGGGTGCTGGACTTCCACATGGCCAACTATGGTTTGAGTCCCAGACTGCGGCTTGCTTTCTCACTTTGTTTCTCTCCAGTCAAAATTTGGGACCAGCAGTTAGCGTAATGGCTATGTTGCTGTACTCCCATGTAGTTGACCGCGGTTCGTGTCCCGGACATGGCGGCTTAAACTCACGCCGGGCATGTGTGCATGAGTGCCCAAGATCCCAAGAGGAGAATGGAGGAGAAGGGAATGCAGCGTGGCCATCCCCCCAGGGGGTGATTTCTTGTTTTCTATCTGTCTGTCTCTCTTTGTCTTTCTGGTGAGCACATGCGCCCTATAACAAAAACCTCTCCAAAAAAAATTTTTTTTAAATTATAATAATAAATAAAATTAAATAAATAATTCTTTTAAAAAAGAGAAAATATACTTTTATTCCTATTTTGTTAAAAGTTTTTTTCTTTTTTAAATCATGAATATAGAGTTGAGTCGATCTCTTTTCCTCACTACAAGACCTCATTATAGTGGTCCCTGCATCTTAGGCCCCTTGAATAAAGCCTGTCTGCGATCTTAAAGAAAAAATCATAAATATCTGTGAACTGATATGGCCTTTATTCTTTAATGTATTAATGTTAAGATTTCCTTTTTTCAGAGAGAGATTTTTGCTATAGGGTCTGTGAGCTCACTGGAAAGACAGAAAGAGAGGAAGTGAAAAATCACCCCTCAGGGGTATGGCCATGCCACAATCCCTTCTCCTCCATTCTCTCTCGAGGTTTTGGGTACACACGTACACATGGACCCAACGTAATTTTCAAGGTAACCTCTGGGTCCGGGACTCGAACCACATTTGGCTATGTGGGAGTCCAGCACCTTAACCACCGTGCTACCTGCTTACCCTGTAAGTATATGTATTTACATAACTGGATCTCTAGTTGTAACCCTTATTGTATTCCCGAGTGCTCTGTAGACATCATCCAATGCTCCCAGCCAAGACTGGAGGCTGAAGAAGGCTGGCCCCTTGCCGTGTGAGGGGCAGAGCCAGGCGTGAGCTCGGGCAGGTTTACTGTGAACCCTCGCCCTGACCTCCCGGCCTGTGAAGGTGGGGGTGCCCTTTGGGTGGGATCTCAGTGTCAGGGTGATTTTAGCTCCTGGGAACTCCTGCCCATTCAGTCCTGTGGAGCTGTCGTATGGCCAGTTCCTCTGTCATGTCCCAGCCTCTGGAGACGCTGCTTACCGGATCCTCAGCAGCCGGTTCCTCTCTGCCTTTCCCAGGGCCTCCTTTTCCCTCCGGAGCTGCTGGTCTGCATGGGCCTGGAAACACCTCCTTGCCTCCTCCGCCTCCTCTTGCTTGGACTTCTGGAAGTCCTTACACTGCTCCTCCTCCATCTCTACGTGCCACATGGCATTCCTTGCAAACAAGGGGCCTCTTGTTTATGGGGGCAAAGTGGTTGGGGACCTGGGGCTGGGCACTATAGGGTGCATCCACCCTGGAGATCTGGGGAGGGCCTGGACATCGTTTTGTTACACTTCAAGTAGACGTTGAACAATGCTGACAAGTCAGCTCCTTCCTCCAAGGAGCCCTCTTGGTCCAAAGTTTCTTAGAGACTGAGGATCCCTCCTCCTGCCCAACCTCCAACTTCACATAAACATCACATCAAGTCCCACCAGAGCTAGAACCCGGCCCTCCTCTTCCTGTGTGCTCATGGACACTCCTCTGGCCTGAGGACCGGGTCAGCTGATGGTAGCAAGCCCCTTGCCTGGTCTGAGGAACGCATATGGGAAGAGATGGTTGCGAGATTGTTGTGACTGCCTTCTGCTGGGGGAGGGTTACTGGAGCTACCAAAGAGCCCCTTCCTCCATTTTCCAATGTAATTGGGGTGGGGACTCTGAAACATGTTCTGGGTCCTGGCTGGACAGAAAAGGATCTGCCCAAACCCTTGTCTTAGGTGACAAGGTCTTGGGCAACTGTTAGTTGAAGACTGTCTCTGGTGGCCATGGAAGCACATAGCTCACTCTGGAAGTTTCCAATTTATATCCAGCTGGGATGAGTACATGTATACAGTAAGAGGGTTTAGGCTAAGAGCGCTCGCTCTTAGGATGAAGAAATCCATCTCCAGATAGTGTCACACCAGTGTACTGACAGATTAAAAATTTCCAACAACTGGGGGCCAGCAGAAGGCATAGTGGTTACATTGCAGGACCCTCACATGGCCAGTCACAGTCTGAGCTCTGGCCCAGTGGCTTGAAACTCACGCCAGGTGTGTGTGTGTGTGTGTGTGTGTGTGTGTGTACGTGTGCACCCAAGGTCCCAGAAACAGAATGGAGGAGACAGGATTGCAGTGTGGCCATCCTCTCTTGGGTGGGATTTCTCACTTTCCCTCTCACTGTCTCTCTTGCTTTCTCTCCAGCAAGTACATGCACCCAAAGGTAAAAACTTCTAAAAATAAAATAGTTTCCAACAACTGAAGAGTTGACCCCCATAATCCCCCAGGCAGAGATGAGCTGTTCTTGGAGGCCTGCTAGCAGTTCTACCTGGAAGATATGGACTCAGGATGATGTCAGATGGGAGTGTTTTAGCTGGCATCTGCCTCGCTCCTGAGAGTAAACCAAATGCCTCACACAGTTCATCATTCAGAATGATGTTTGTTGTAGGCTTTCAGTAGATACTCTTAATCATGTTAAGAAGACAGGTGGCATGGTGGTTAGGGTGCTGGACTTCCACATGGCCAACTATGGTTTGAGTCCCAGACTGCGGCTTGCTTTCTCACTTTGTTTCTCTCCAGTCAAAATTTGGGACCAGCAGTTAGCGTAATGGCTATGTTGCTGTACTCCCATGTAGTTGACCGCGGTTCGTGTCCCGGACATGGCGGCTTAAACTCACGCCGGGCATGTGTGCATGAGTGCCCAAGATCCCAAGAGGAGAATGGAGGAGAAGGGAATGCAGCGTGGCCATCCCCCCAGGGGGTGATTTCTTGTTTTCTATCTGTCTGTCTCTCTTTGTCTTTCTGGTGAGCACATGCGGCCCTCCCAAAAAAATTTTTTTTAAATTATAATAATAAATAAAATTAAATAAATAATTCTTTTAAAAAAGAGAAAATATACTTTTATTCCTATTTTGTTAAAAGTTTTTTTCTTTTTTAAATCATGAATATAGAGTTGAGTCGATCTCTTTTCCTCACTACAAGACCTCATTATAGTGGTCCCTGCATCTTAGGCCCCTTGAATAAAGTCTGTCTGCGATCTTAAAGAAAAAATCATAAATATCTGTGAACTGATATGGCCTTTATTCTTTAATGTATTAATGTTAAGATTTCCTTTTTTCAGAGAGAGATTTTTGCTATAGGGTCTGTGAGCTCACTGGAAAGACAGAAAGAGAGGAAGTGAAAAATCACCCCTCAGGGGTATGGCCATGCCACAATCCCTTCTCCTCCATTCTCCTCTCGGGATCTTAGACACGCACGCACACACGCCCGGTGTGAGTTTCAAGCCACTGGGTCTCTGGGTCTGGGTCTCAAACCCTACATGGTCGGCCATGTAGGAGTCCAGTGCTTTAACTACTATGCCACCTGCTGGCCTCATGTTAAGATTTCTAACATCAGGTCCTTTTTTTTTTTTTTTTTTTTTGGTCCTAGGATATAAACCTAACATGGCATGGTGTGTGTGCATGCACATGTGTGTCTAACACATGATTAGGTTCTGATTTTAATGTTTTATTTGAGATTTTTCTCATTTATGTCCCAAGCAAGATTGGCTTATACTTTTCTTCTCTTGGTTTTGGCATCAAGGTTATACTACTCAATTAAAAAATTGGGTATATGTTCTTGTTGGGGTAATTTTTTCTTTTAGAGAGATTTTTGCTATTGGGTGTGTGCACTCGCCAGAGAGACAGAGACAGAGAGACAGAAAAGAAATCTCCTCACAGTGGAGATGGCCATGCTGCAATCTCTTCTCCTCCATTCTCCTCTCAGGATTTTGGGCACACACACGAGCCAGGTGTGAGTTTTAAGCTGTTGGGTCCATGACTTGAATAGCGGTAGACTACATGGAAGTCCAGCGATATAACCATTATGCCATCTGCTGGTCCCCATTGGGGTAATTTAAGATAATTGATCTTTGATAATTATGGGCCACTTCAGGTTTTCTCTGATGGGAAGCACTTGCTGAATTCCTGATATACAGTGTTTTCATCTGTCCCTGAGGCAGGTCTGCTCTATGGCATGTCCATGTGTGGGATCATTTCTGTTTGTCCTGTGCCTGACTCCTGTGATTCCATAATCTGAGGATTTATGCTTTTATCAGTTCTGAAAAAAAATATTTCTAATTTTTAAAGTTTTTGCTGTAGGGTACATGTGCTTGCTAAAGAGTCAAAGAGAGACAGAGAAAAGGAAAGTAAGAAATCATACTCCAGGGGTGATGGCCATGCCACAATCCCTTCTCTTCCATTCTCCTCTCAGGATTTGGGGCATGCACGCACACACAACTGACCAGAGTTTCAAGGCACTGGATCCAGGACTCAAACTATGGTCAGCTCTGTGGGAGTCCAGTACTTTAACTACCATGCCATGTCTGCTCCCCTGGAAAATTCTTAGTCATTACTTAATTGTGTACTGGTTCTCCCTGTTTTGTGTTATTTTACGTGACTGAATGCCTCACTTTACCTCTTATTTTAAGGTTCACAAAATTAACTAACACATTTAGAACTAATGATGGAATTAGAAAAGCATCCTTTGGCAGCATCATCACACTAATTAATTCAGATAAGAAACACTAATGCTTGTAAACACATGTGTGAAACGGATAGGAATCACATTTCCTAGCGTCTCAAAGCATCTCCCTGCAAGCTCTATATCAATTTTCTTTTCTTTTCTTTCCTTTTTTCTTTTTTTTTTTGGAGAGATTTTTACTGTAGGGCACGTGCGCTCGCCAGACAGACAGAGAGAGACTTAGAGACAGAAAGCGAGAAATCACCCCCCAGGGGGGATGGTCACGCCGCAATCCCTTCTCCTCCATTCTCCTCTCGGGATCTTGGGCACGCACGCACACGCGCCCGGCATGAGTTTTAAACCACCGGGTCCGGGACACGAACCGCGGTCGACTACGTGGGAGTCCAGCGACATAGCCATTACGCTAACTGCTGGTTCCCTTCTTTTAAGTTGTTCTCTTTTTTTTTTTTTTTTTTTTTTTTTTTTTTTAGAGAGATTTTTGCTCTAGGGCATGTGCACTCACCAGAGAGACAGAAAGCGAGAAATTACCATCCAGGGGGGATGGCCATGCCACAGTCCCTTTTTCTCCATTCTCCTCTTGGGATCTTGGACATGCATGCATATGCGCCTGGCATGAGTTTCAAGCCACCAGGTCTGGGACTCAAACTGTACTGGATCATGTGGGAGTCCAGTAGTGGAACCACTATGCTACCTGCTGATCCCTTATATATCAGTTTTCAGGGGAACAAGTGTCACTCTGCAGTGAGGAAACTTGGCCAGCACCCACCACTGGGCATCATCCTGAGGAAGTATTGAACAAAAAGTGGCTTTTAGTGACCTATGATCTTCAAAATGTTAAGGACATAGATACCATAAAAGGATTGAGGGGGTCTTCCTGATTGAGGAGGATGTCAGGGGAAATGTGAAAAACAGATGCGATGTCCTGAATGGGTCCCTCGCTCCAAGATGTCACCAGGACACTGAGACTGAGGGGAGATGGAATTCTTTGAGTCTAAACTTGTTTCAAAATAAACACCTTTTATCTTTTTTTTTTTTTTGCTAGAGGGCATGTGTGCTGACTGGAGAGAGAGAGGAGAGAGAGAGAAAGAGAAGAAAGAGAGAGAGAGAGAGAGAGAGAGAAGAAAGAAAGAACCCCTGGGGGGATGGCCATGCCACAATCCCTTCTTCTCCATTTCTCCTTTCAAAATTTTGGGCATGCATGTACACAATCCCAGTGTTTTCCAAATCACTAAGTTCAGGACTTGAAGCACACAATTGGCCATGTGGGATCCAGCTGCTCAACCACCATGCCAGCGACTGGTCCAGCAAGGTTTTTTTTTTTTTTTTTTTTTTTTTTTTTTTTTTTTTTTTTTTTTTTTGGAGAGGTTTTTGCTATAGGGCGCATGTGCTCCAGACAGAGAGAGACAGAGAGACAGAAAGCAAGAAATCACCACCCCCCCAGGGGGGATGGCCACACCGCAATCCATTCTCCACCATTCTCCTCTTGGGATCTTGGGCACACACGCACAAACGCCTGGTGTGAGTTTAAGTCACCGGGTCCGGGACTCGAACTACGTGGGAGTCCAGTGACATAGCCATTACACTAACTGTTGGTCCCCAAACATTTTATTTCTTGAATAATACACATAGAAATCCTGCTAAATATCAATGTTCAGCAAACTACCTGTACTTTTCTGAATCTGACATTGTCCCCAATTTAAAAACCAGAATGGTGCCCTCCTGATACATTTCCATGTTCCACATCCTTCCAAAATGACCCAGCTCGTTCAGTAATTTCTAATTTCTTTTGCAAAACATTGAGATACAATTTGACTTTAAAAAAATAACATTGTATATTCTTTGTGTTTGTCATTTTGGTTAATTACTGAAAGATGGTTCCGGCCAAAAGGCTGGTCCAGCAAGTTTTGTATTTATTTATTTTTTTAAAATTATGTATTATTATAATTTTAAAATTTGACCAGAGAGAAAGGGATAGTGAGAAAGCCACCAGGTTCCAGACTCGAACCATGAGCGGCCATGTGGGAGTCCAGCGCCTTAACCACCATGCCGCCTGCTGGCCCCAACAAGATTTTTTTGAAGAATGAAATCGATAATCACAGCAACCCAATCAGGATAGGACCACCACGGGTTTTACCAGTCCTGTGGAGACCCCTGCTCAACTCAGGTGCGGGATAGTGGAGAGAGAAAGCGATCAAGGCCAGCCGGCCATCAAGCAAGGGTGGGGTAAGCACCGTGTCCTCTTCCTTTCTTGGCCAGGTAGCTCTCCCTGTCCTTGGCTGTGCCTTCCTCTGCTATCTCATAGGCTGCCTGACAGGGTCAGCTCTGTGACTTGGTCCACAGCTCATAGGACACCACCTTAGATTATAACTAAATTGAGGCAAGCACGGGTCGGAGACTAGTTCAGGGTGATGAGTCTCTATTGTGAGGTCAGCACCATGGCATCATGTCACGGCAGACCCACAACCAGGACCCACTGCTGGGGCAGGAGTTCCAGAGACCAGCAGGGCTCTATGGCCTGAGGGGTCTTTCCCAGTATCAACCCAGAGTCCTCAACGGGTGGGCCCACCCTGAGAGGTATTTATACCCCATGCTAAACCCCTTTGTGCTGAAACTCTCCAAAGGCAATTTTGATGTCTGCAACCCAAACTTTGAGCACTAAGGTGTTTGAAATAATGCGATGATCTCTTCCTGATGGATGCTTGGAGAAAACTAGGAAGCACTTTTTAAAAATAGTACTGGTTGTTCGATGGAAGCACAAAGAACAGGAAATGAAGAAAAAAGAAAAAACGATTTTATAGCTCCTAAGAATATAAACAAATATGAAGAAACTGAAAAACACTTAAAAAATGAGAATACATCCTTTCAACTATTGCATTTCATGAGTTCTCTTTTAATTTTTTTAAAAGAGGTTTTTGCCTTAGGGCATATGTGCTTACTGGAGACAAAGAGAGACAGACAGTGAGAGCAGCAGTGGGAAATCACCCTCGGGGCTGAGGGGTGGAGGGCGGTTGGTGGCCATGCCGCAATCCCTTCTCTTCCATTCTCCTCCCAGAATCTTGGGCACATATGCCTGGCCTGATTTTCAAGCAACTGGGTCTGGGACTTGAATTGCAGTATGAGTCCAGCAATGTAACCACTCCACCATCTGCTGGCCCTGTTACCTTTCAATTTAAAAAATTTTTTTTTTTTTTTTTAGGTTTTTGCTATCGGGCACATGCACTCGCTGGAAAGACAGAGAGAGACAGAGAGACAGAAAGCGAGAAATCACCCCCTAGGGGGGGATGGCCACACCACAATCCCTTCTCCTCCATTCTCCTCTCGAGATCTTGGGCATGCAGGCACACACGCCCAGCGTGAGTTTAAGCCGCTGGATCGGGGACTCGAACTGCGTTCAACTACATGGGAGTCCAGCAATATAGCCATTACGCTAACTGCTGGTCCCCACCTTTCAATTTTTAAGCAGCTCGAAAGTCAAGTTCAAATTACTTCAAGATTTTATTCTTCATCTTAGAACTAGGAATCAACCCACGAACTGCTCAGAGACCTGCACCCTGCAAGGGAACATGACTCCAAACTTACCCGCTCTCCTTCAGCGCGGCTGTGAGTCTTGACTGCAGGCCTCTCTCGTCCTCCAGTTCTGTGCACAGGCGTCTGGACACTGCCTGGAGACGGCCCATGGCTGCTCTGGAGCACAGGAGGGGAGACCGATGAGCTGCGTGTCAGAGCCTTGGTTGCACCCAGAGAAAGTTGAGGCTCAGCCTGGGGTCTCCCCACAGCATTCACCTGGCACTTTTCTTTGGCCTTTTCATTGTCAGGAAGGAAATCCATCTGAACTAGTTAACCCAGAAGATGAGGAAGTGTGGGGTCAATGGAAGGCTTCTCATAAGCCCACTTTCTTCTGGGCAGGTAGAGGCCAAAGTCGGGCTTACTGTTCAGCTTAGGGGAGGCCAGTAATGGCTCAGAGAATCCTAACCAGGATCCCTAGTCACACCAGCTCCCTGCTGGCCTCTCTCGATTCTCTAAGGAAACTGAAGGCAGGTTTCCTGGTTGCCAGCGCCCCCGGAGCAGTGCCTGGAGGTCTCAGGCTTAGGAAAGACCCAGCACACTCATGGGAAAGGCACCACTGCCTCCTGGTTCTAGCCCACACCGCTGTCCCTTGCTTTGTCCCTCTTCACTCTTGGAGTGGAGCTCTCTGTGTGCATTGGCCACCCATCCCCAGTCCAGTTACCCTCCCAAGACATAACCATTCCACAGGGATGGGCAGCAGGTGACATGATTGGGACAGTGAGGGTGGTGCAGAGAGGTGCAGGACCTGCCTGTAACAACAGCACAGTGACCTTGGGCAGAGGAGCTGGGTGGGGCCAGCGTTGGCCAGAACCCCTGAATATGTGTGGTTCCAGGAAGTGAGTTTCCAGCAGCTGCTTAGGTCTAGTGATTATCTCTTGAAATTTTAGTGATTGGGACCAGCAGTTGGCGTAATGGCTATGTCGCTGGACTCCCATATAGTCAACCGTGGTTTGAGTCCTGGACCCGGGCGCGTGTGTGTGCATGCCCAAGATCCTGAGAGGAGAATGGAGAAGGGATTGTGGTGTAGCCATCCCCCCGGGGGTTGAATTCTGGCTTTCTCTCTGTCTCTCCAGCAAGCACATATGCCCCATAGCAAAAATCTCTCTTAAAAGAAAAACTTTTTGAGGCGTAGGCTGCAGGTCTCACAAGGTCACTGCTGTGCGACCTTTGTGGGGTCCAGCCCCATCTGCCCATCAACCCTCAGGGCTCCAGTTTCCATCAGGAGCCCCACCCTTCTGGGGCCAGCAGGACCTGGTGTTTACTCCCACCCCACTAACCACCAGTACTCTTCCCCCTGCCAATGTGCGCAGAGCTCCTAGGCCAACAATCTGCTGGGTATGTCGCTGGACTCCCATATAGTCAACCGTGGTTTGAGTCCTGGACCCGGGCGCGTGTGTGTGCATGCCCAAGATCCTGAGAGGAGAATGGAGAAGGGATTGTGGTGTAGCCATCCCCCCGGGGGTTGAATTCTGGCTTTCTCTCTGTCTCTCCAGCAAGCACATATGCCCCATAGCAAAAATCTCTCTTAAAAGAAAAACTTTTTGAGGCGTAGGCTGCAGGTCTCACAAGGTCACTGCTGTGCGACCTTTGTGGGGTCCAGCCCCATCTGCCCATCAACCCTCAGGGCTCCAGTTTCCATCAGGAGCCCCACCCTTCTGGGGCCAGCAGGACCTGGTGTTTACTCCCACCCCACTAACCACCAGTACTCTTCCCCCTGCCAATGTGCGCAGAGCTCCTAGGCCAACAATCTGCTGGGGCCCTTCTCAGCTGGAGGGTGTCATGTTGTTATGGGAGCTGCAGTGTAGCACACCTCCAGGCTCCAGGGAGTTTAGTGCTCATGGTGGACACTGGCATGCTCATGTCCGGAGCCCTCCTACTCAGAGTACCTGGTCCCGTGTCCACACGCTGTACCCTGTGGGCATCTCGCCTCCCTCACACCATCCTCCCTACTCTGTCACACAAGATAAAAGCTGTCCTGACACATTTCTCCTCTTACTCCAACCCATGGGTCCCCTGCCTCAAAACATCCATCCCTTGTGACCACATGGCTTTATAGTCCTTGAGGTGCTTGTGACTGTCTGACATTTCATGTCTGTGGTTTTGTGTTCTCCACTTTGCCATGCTGAAGTGTAGCTGCCTGCTTCCCTGCCTGCCTAAAGACAGTAGGTGCCTAATACTTGTCTTTGGGTGACACATGAGCCTTTGCAACGCTACCCAGATCATTGTGAGGTCGCTTGCCCGATGTCCTGTCCCAACTCTCCACCCTCCCGGCCCCCTGGAATGACCTACGTGTTGCTGGCCTCCCTCTGCAGAGTGATCTCGCCTGCCACGGTGGCCTGCTGTCTGCGGAGGCTGTCCATCCTCTGCTGACAAGCACGCAGTTCCCTGCTGAAACAGTGAAGAGAAATCCCAACCCCTAGAGGTGGAGAGTGGGATCAGGGGTCTAGGCCTCCCTGCTCCCCACACCCAGGCCAGGGATTGCAGCCACAGCATTCTCTGCAGAGCACTGTCTGATACAATCCAGAAACACGCTGGAACCCTGAAAACTGCACGGGGGCTGCCGTGTGGCCTCCACTGACAGGTGACAGGCTGTGGGTAGCTGAAGACAGCGCAGGAAGGCAGAGTTCCCACGGACCTCTGGATCAGTGAGCTCAGGTATGTAAAAGATACACGGCCACAGCTCCTCCTGTGTGCTCCAGAACACATACCCACCAGGCCTGGACAACAGCTCCTACAGGCCTGGGTGGAATCCTGGTCCAAACGCCAAACTCTTGTTCTGTGACTCTCGCCTCAGTTAACAGAACAAAACCCAAAATATGAGCTCCAGGGGACAGTGAGAGGACACATAGAGAAACCGCAGCGTGAGGCGCTGTAGGGAGATATCTGGGAAATGCTAGTTTTTTCAGGTGAAGTCATGTGTGGAGGTTATCCAGAAGGATGTTTTTATTTTTGAGAAGGCAATGAAATATTTAGGAGTAAAGAGTCCTGAGTCTGCAATGTTGCTTTTAAATGGTTCAGAAGAAACCAGAGATGTAACATAGAAGCATATGACAGAGAGAGAGAGATCACAGGAAAGGCGGGCACACGGGGAGGCTGGGGGGTGCTGGGCGCAGCTGTACTAGCTATTTCCGACTTTTCTGTACATTCGCAGTTTTTCTTCCTAGACGTTCAGAGCACACGCTCTGTCAGTGCTGCTGACCAAGCTGGTCGAGAATGGGGCGAGGCCACGGACCTGAGCGCCACCCCTCACACAGGGTGCTGGCCATGTCGTGGCCTGGTAGGACCCAAGAGGGCAAGATGCTGTCCTCCTGCACTGCCTACCACGGTCTCACCAGCACCAGGCACTGTGGGCCTGGGGTGCCCTGAAGCACCCTTGGAATTTCTGAAAGTTTTACAGGACCGAGGGGAGAAAAACGGGGGCTGAGGCTGGCGCCATCTCCTGGGCAGGTTTGCCGAGCTTCTTTCCCAGAGACCTTGGCAAGATGCTCCCTTGAAGAGCTTTAAGGAGACAGCAGGCCAGAACCACCCTTTCACACAACTGTCAAAATCAGCACTAAATGTGTATCAGATACAACCCAGGAGGCAGGAGGATGTGGCCCATCAGGGCAGACCTAGGTCCCGGCCAACAGCTCTCAGTAACTAGTGCTCACCTTGTTTTCTGAATGAAGAGATCTTTCTCTTTGTGCATTTTATCTTGGTAGTTCAAGTCCTTTTGTAGGTGAAACGCTTGAATTCTGTCTTCGACAGATGTTTTTTTCTTCGTTTTATCAGCGTCATCTTCTTTCACTGAACTTAAAATAAAAAGGACCCCAGTTCCCATCCACATGATGGCAGTTGTCGAGGTGTTCATCCCCTCTGCTGGTGCCACTACCACTACTGAGTGGACGCTGTAGCTCACTCGGGGGAGAAGGAGGGAAGGGTCACACCTACCCACCCCCGGTGAATTACCAGTGGTAGCCGGGGACAGCGTCCTTCTCTGCTTCCTGAGGAGGAGATTCAACCTCGAACTCTGGTTCCTCTAATTTATCTCCTTCTAGAAATCAGGGCAAGAGTTAAAAACCAAAAGCAGATCAAACATTCAAGTCTGAAGTTTCGTACGTGTGTGTGTGTATGTGTGTATATGTATATGTATATATACATATATACATATATTAGTTCTTCAGCAAAGTCATGACTTATTTTTGTTTTTTTATACAAAAATGTGCTATGACTTTCCGGACAACCCAATATATTTAAAGCTTACTTTATTTATGGCAGACAGCATGTGCATGCAAAGGAGAGAGAGAGAACTCTCACCAGGGCTTCATCATGCTGCAGTCCCCTTTCCCTAGCCCTCTAGTGCATCAGGATCCTGGGTATGCACACGCCCGTCTGGTATATATCCTCCTGACCCAGGGTTTCGAACCACAGTTGGCCATGTGGCCCCCAGCACTGCAGTTCAGTGCACTGCTGACTATACCACTGAACTGGGCCTCAAGTCTGAAGTTTTAAGGTAAATCTCGACAAGCCCAAACTCAGCAGGCGATGATAACACTGGTGTCTCGGATCAATGGTTGTCAAAGCACAGTCTCAGGAACCTGAGACTATGGGAGTCCCTCAGACTCTTTCAGGATATCTGCTAAGTCAAAACTATTTTCATAGTAATACTAACACAGTATTTCTCTTCTTCAGAAACTTTCATTTCATGAGTGTACAGTGGAGTTTTCTAGAGGCTACATGGCATGTGCTATCCTAACAGATTAATGTAGATGCAGATACGGGAGTCCCACTATCTTCGACTAAAGCCGCCTCACATAACTGGGTTCTTTATTGCCATTTTACATGGATAAATAAATCCTTTAAATATTCATGTTAAGACCAGCAGTTGGCACAATGGCTCTGTTGCTGGACTTTCATGTAGGTTCAGGTGACTTGAACCGTGGTTCAAGTCCCAGACCCAGTGGTTTAAACTTACGCCAGGCACGTGTGCGTGCGTGCCCAAGATCCTGAGAGGAGAATAGAGGAGAAGGGATTGTGGCGTGGCCATCCCCCCGGGAGGTGATTTCTCACTTTCTGTCTCTGTCTTTCTGGCGAGTGCACATGCCCTATAACAAAAATGCCTTTCAAAAAATATATTCAGCTTTAATTTTTAATATAGTAAATACTGAAAAATAAAAATCAACATAAACCGAAACTTCTCGGGTTTTTCAATAATTTTTAAACACATAAAGGAGTTCTTAGACAAAACCATTTCAGAATCACTGTCTTAGAAAATCACCACAGACTTCCAGCAAAACATGGCAAATTGAGCTACTGGGTTTATCTCTGCGCCTTTGTTAAATTTAGGTAGAAATGATAGAGAAAGGAATGACAAAAGGCATAAATCCACAATCACAAGGACAGGAGAGGCAAAACAGTGGATAAGAGAAGGCCCCACAATTTCAATTTATCTTTTAAAATTCGTTTTTATTGGGACCAGCAGTCAGCATAATGGCTATGTCGCTGAACTCCCATGTAGTCGACTGTGGTTTGAGCTCCGGACCCGGTGGCTTACATTCACACCGGCGTGTGTGCGTGCATACCCAAGATCCCGAGAGGAGAATGGAGGAGAAGGGATTGCGGCATGGCCATCTCCCCTGGGGGTGATTTCTCGCTTTCTGTCTCTCTGTCTCTCTCTGTCTTTCCGGCAAGTGCACGCGCCCTATAGCAACAACCTCTCCAAAAAAAATCATTTTTATTCATGATAGAAAGCATGTACGTGTGCATGAAAGGGAGACAGACAGAGAGAAAGCGAGAGCATTCCCCAGTGGGGCCTTGTGATGCCACAACCCTTTTCCTTCCAGTTCTCTATTCTGTCAGGATCCTGGGTACGCATGGAACCAGCAGGACTCAGGTTCAACCCCAGCAGGCTCTGTGGGAGCTGGTTTCCTCTCTGCGCAGGGCTGAACTGCTGCACCACAAGGCCAGCTCAAGCCCTGCAATTTTAAAATATGGAAAACTCATGGACAAGGGCAACTAATGTCCCACTCACAAAGCTGAAAAGCAAAACAAAATTCAGAGCCGGAAGATGGGGGCTGAAGGGAGGGGAGACAGGAAATGAGTCTCTGATGTCAGCACAAGACCCAAATCAAGGCACATCTCAGAAAAACTTCAGATCATCAGAGATCTGGAAAAAAAAAAGAAAGAAAAGAAAGAAAAAAATAACGGAATGTTTCCAAGAAAAGAAAACAAAAATAGGTCACATTCAAAAGATTGGGGTAAAAATGGCATCAGATTTCTCAACACTGATGTCGGAAACTAAAAAACTAATGGTCTGTCACTTTCAAAGTTCTTAGCCATAATTTATCTTTCAACTAAAAGCAATAAATACAAGTTCCTTTATCGAGAAAAAAATGTGAATTTAAAAGATACAGTCTCTCTGAAATAAAGGGAATTAAAGGGCAAATATGAAGCATATAATTTATCTTTTTTTACTGTTGAAATGTGTGCTATTTGTGAAAGGATCTTTATTACCATATTCCAAAAGGGAGATGTTTTCCAGAAGCTCCTCCCTGGGGAATAGGCTAACATCTTCTTCCATATTGGGAGACAGAAATTAGCTGCAAATAAATAAATAAAATAAAATAAGAAGTATCATGGAATATAGACCAATAAGATTACAGATTAAAAAAAAATCTTAAAAATTAGATTTTGTGAAAAAAATTTATCTTATAAAAAGCCATTAAGAAAATGAACAGATAAATTATGGGCTAGAAAAAAAATTTGTAGCACACACATCTCACAAAGGTCTGGTATCCAAGATACATAGAGCTCATAATGATCAACAATATAAAGTTTAAACTCCAATTTAAAGAGGTCAAAAGATTTAGAATAGACATGACAAAAGAAGATATACTGATGCCCAATAAGCATGTGAGGAACTTTGTTCAAAATTACTAGTCATTAGCGGGACCAGCAGTTAGCTTAATGGCTATGTTGCTGGGCTCCCATGTAGTCGACCGTGGTTCGCGTCCCGGATCCGGTGGTTTAAAACTCATGCCGGGCACGTGTGTGCACGTGCCCAAGATCCGGAGAGGAGAATGGAGGAGAAGGGATTGCGGTGTGGCCAACCTCCCCTGGGGGGTGATTTCTCGCTTTCTGTCTCTCTGTCTCTCTCTGTCTGGCGAGCGCACGTGCCCTATAGCAAAAAACCTCTGCCCCCCCAAAAAAATTACTAGTCACTAGCAAAATGCAAATTAAAACCATAATGAGATACTACTATATAATGATTAGAATGCCTAAGATAAAAAAAAAACTACTGATAACACTAAATATTGGCAAGGATAGAGAATGACTGGTATCCTCACATGTTGCTGGTTGGAGTGCAAAATGGTATTGGAATACCTTTGGGCAGTTTCTTTTTCTTTTAAGGTCTTGCCATATGTGCTTACCAGGGAGAAACAGTGAGAGGGAAAGTGAAACATCACCCCTGGGGGGATGGCCATGCTACAATTCGTTCTCCCCCATTCTCCTCTTAGGAATTTGGGCATGCAAGCACACACACCCTGCGTGCTTCCCAAGTCATCAGGTTTGGGACTCAAACCATATTTGGCCATGTGGGAATCCAGCACCTTAACAACCATGCCACCTGCTGGTCCAATGTTGGGCAATTTTTATCAACATACACTCACCATATGACCCAGCACTCCTACTCTGATTATTTACCCAAAAGAAACAAAGATATGTCCACAAAGAAACTTAAAAAGAAATGTTTATAGCAGCCTTATTCAAAATAGCCCCAAACTGGTGACAGCTCCCATTTCCATCAATATGAGAATGGATAAACAAATTGTAGTACATCCACATGGTGGAGTAATATCAGAAATAAGTAAGAATGAAGTGTTGGAACTTAGAAACTTTATGGATGGAACTTAGAAACTTTATGCTGTGTAGAGAAGGCCAGACCCGGGAGTCCATATTCGAACATAGGCAAAAACTGACTGATGGTGATAGGAACAAGATAATGGTGGGCTAGCCCGTGGCATGGTGGTTAAGGCCGCTAGATTGCACGTGGCTGACTGTGTGGACCCCGTGGCTTGAAAAACACACTGGGTGCTTGTGTGCGAGTGCCTAAAACCCCAAAAGGAGGTTAGAGATGTAGAAGGGATTATGGTGGAAACACTTCCACCGCGGTGCTTTCTCATCCCCACCACCTTTCTCTGGCAAGTGCGTGTGCCCTCTGGCAAAATTAAAAAAAAAGTGAGTGGTTTCTGGGTGAGAAATGAGAAGTGGGGGTGGGGAGGGAATGGATTATGAGGGAACTTGTAAGGGGATGGAAATGTTCTGTATTACGTTTTGGGTGGAAGTACACAAATGTATGTAATTGTCAAAACTCAGGCAATTGAACATGTGTGTATTTTATTGCATGTTAATGTTATTACAGTAGAATTTATGAACACACACACATACACATAGTGCTAATGTTCAAAAAATTCTTTTTCATTTTTTTGTTCTTTTTTAGAAGGTTTTTTTAAAAATAATTATTTTATTTTATTTTAAAATTTATTCATTCATTTTATTTTAATTTGACCAGAAAAAGACACAAGGAGAGAGAAAAAGAGGGAAAGTGAGAAAACAAGCCACAGGTCCAGGACTCCAACTGTGGTCAGCCATGTGGGAGTGTCCAGTCCACCTTAGCCACCATGCCACCTGCTGGTCCCCATTTTTCTTTCTTTTCTTTTCTTTTTTTTTTTTTTGGGGAGATTTTTTCTTTAGTACTATAGGGTGTGTGCACTTGCCAGAAAGACAGAGAGACAGAAAGCAAGAAATCACTCCCAGGGGGGATGGCCATGCCGCAATCCCTTCTTCTCAATCCCCCCCTCGGGATCTTGGGCACACACACACACATGCCTGACATGAGTTTAAACCACCAGGTCCGGGACTCAAACTGTGATCGATTACATGGGCGTCCAGAGACATAGTCATTACGCCAACTGCTGGTCCACCCATTTTTCTTTTTAAAAAATTTGCCAGAGGGTGCTGGAGTGATTTTGAAATCACTCCCCAATGGGGTGTGGTCACATCTCAGTCCCTTCTTCATTTTTCCATCCTGACAGGATTTTGGGCTTGCATGCACACATGCCCGGTGTGTTTTTCTAATCCAGCCGGGATTCAGATTCTATAGTCAGTCTTGTGGGATCCAGCTCCCTTAACCACTAGGTCATAGGGCCAGCCATTAAAAACAATTCTTAGAGAATTTCTGAATATCCATTACACTTTGGTGTAAAACTCTTGGTATAGAATCTTGTGTATTCATATGTACACATGCACATGCGCCTGGAGTGAGTTTCAAACTGTCAGGTCCGGGACTTGAACCATGATAAGTCACACGGGAATCCAGTGCCTTAACCACTGCTCCACCTGCTGGACCCTATTATTATTATTTTTAAAAAAGTTTGACCAGAGAAAGACAGAAAGAGAGAGAGAGAAAGTGAGAAAGCAAGCTGCCAGGTTCGAGACTCGAACTGTGCTCAGCCACATGGGAGTGGCTTAACCGCCACACCACCTGCTGGTGCTGACATCCATTTATTTTCTATTATAACTAAAATATATGATTGATTTTAATATCTATTAATCACATTATGCTTGCATCATGACATATATACAAAAGAGTTGATGTTAAATACTTAAATGCAAACCATAAATTTTCTATTGGGACTGTATATTACTTCACTTTAAAGTAATGAATAATTCCAGGTTAAGTATATATGAATGTTGCTATTTTATGTATGAGATGCTAAAATTGTAGAGGAGTTTCTATTTCATTGCTTAATTTAGCAATTGCTTGAGAATAAATCATTGAAAAATATTTTCACTGTCTAATACTGTTTCTTGGATAACTCGATAAATCAATGCCAGTAATTTATATTTTAAAAGGTAACAAAAAGACAATTGTACTTTCAAGTCCTGAGAAGCAGAATTTTAAGGTATAAAATACCGACAATATTCCTTCCTTTTGAAAGAACCAATTAACTTACTAGTTTGTGACTGGCAGAGTTTTCAGAAGAGATTGATAAAATGATCAAATCTATTCCACTCTATGCTTGTGAATTCCATGTGACTATCACAGCATGGTTTTACTGGATTCTCCCAAAGATGACAGGCGTATAAAATGCGGGCCATTACGCATACACAGTTCCACTTAAGACGATTATATAAGACGTCGACTGTCCAGTTAAAGATGACAGTTTCATTGATCTCTGCTCCTTGAATTCTCACTAAGAACTTGGGAAGCATTCAATACGTGGGCCAACCAGGGCAAGGCAAGTGAGGAGGAAATAGTAGGCTCAACGCAGAACCTGGGGAGTGGAAGGGTGAGTGGTGAGGGTCCTCAGAGAGAGAGAGGCCTGAGCACAGCATGCTGCGTGCACCACATACCCTTGTCAGGCTTAGGGCCGACAGTCTCTGGTGTTTCTAACATGGAGAGAAGTAGAATCAGGAACTGAGAGATTCATTAAAACTTGTTTAAAGAGCAATTGGTAGACTCTTGTTTTTTAGAGAGAGGTTTTTGCTGTAGGACATTTGGGCTTGCCAGAGAGAGAGAGAGAGAGAAAGAGAGAGAAATCATTCCTCACCAGGGGTGGCCATGCCACAGTCCATTCTCCTCCATTCTCCTCCTGGGATTCTGGGCATCGGGCATGGGGTCTGGGACTCAAACCTTGGTCGGCCACGTGGAAGTCCAGCATCTTTAACCACTCTGCATCCACTGGCCCTGGGACACTCATTTTTGGTAACATGATGAGCCAATGTGCCCATCATTCCTTTGAAAACATTTAAAAAATACTGGATAAATTTGTATTTCAACTTCCCTAAAAACCTTGAGGGATGGACCATACAGTAGGAAGTTATCAGGTTAAAAATCTAAGTGAAGGCAGGCCCTAAATGCATGTGTAAGGAAAGAAGACAGGCTAAAAAGAAATGTGCTACATATCCAATTCGAGAAGTGAGAAAAAGAACTGGAGGGGGCTAGATGGTGGCCCAGTGGTAAATGACTATGCTCTGTAAGGCTGATCCGCTTGGGAAGGTTCTGGGGTCATGCTCAGAGACCTTCCTGCATATTCTGGGACTGTGTGCCCATAATCCAGGAGGCATTAAAGCAGAGAGTAGACATAGTACTATCATCCTGTTGAAGGTGCTATCTTTCTGTCTCTCTCACTTATAGAAGAAATAAATAGAACAATTTTTTTTTTTTAAAGGGAGGACAATCTAGGAAAACCAAAGAAGAAGAAGAAAAAAAAAAACCAAAGAAGAAGAAAGAAATTTAAAAACAAGATTATATATTAAAGAAGCAAAAACAGATATATGAGAGAGATTCTTCAAAGCCAAAAGTTTGTATTTTTTTGGAGAGATTTTTGCTATAAGGTATGTGCACTTGCCAGAGAGACAGGAAAAGACAGAGAGACAGAAAGTGAAAAATCACCCCCCGGGGGGAAACCCATGACACAATCCCTTCTCCTCCATTCTCCTCTCAGGATCTTGGTCATACAAACACACCTTCCTGACCTGAGTTTTAAGCCACCAGGTACCAGACTCAAACTGCAGTTGACTACATGGGAGTCCA